GAAGACCTCTCGCCACCCAGGAAAGGTAATTACTAAGGCCTCTATATTAGACGACTAGAAACGTGGGCTGAGGTTTCCCAGCACTCTTCCTATCTGATTTATTCAGGTGATCACAGAAAGAAAATGGAAAGCCGGCACTACGAGTGCACATGATTCTAGCGGAACCAGTGCAAAACCCATATATACCTTAAACCCGACACCTAAAGCCCTAAAATTCTCACCCCAAAATCAGGAAGCCGCAGCATCGTTTGATCTCATAGGATGTATGCCAGAATCTCTAAACCCTAAACCCGACACCTAAAGCCTTAAATACAGCGAGCCTAACTCCCAAACTCAACCCTAAATCCTAAACCCTAAACCCTAAGCCCCCAAACTCTGAATCCGACAGGCAAAGGCCGAAACCCAAAGCTTTTAACCAGAAGCCCCAAAGCCCAGATTGCCCAGGTCCTAAGCAAACAAATCTTAGCTCACAAATTCCCAGGCTCTGAATCGCAAGCCCGCTAAATCCGGAGTTAGACACCCTTCTACAGGGGCTTTAATCATTCGAATAGTATAACATACCCCCAAATCCTATTCTAATTATGAAGGCCCCTATATCCCCTATATTATAGTACGTCTTCGACTCGAAAGCCCCATGCCTGCGGAATGCAAGAGTCTCGATCCCTAGCCCGATGAGTCTCATGATCCGACAATACCTTCAACTACCAGAACCTGCTTTTTTGTAGGGTCCCTATAAATTCTATATTAGGGTTATAATAAGGACCTACAAAAAAGTAGGTTATGGTAGTTCAAGGTACGTAAAAAACGCGTATGCAACCGCGAAAACTGTAGGAATCTGCCCAGAGGCCCCATAGTAGTTCCTTTTTCGGGGATTACCTTATAGGATTCTATATATGAACCCCCAAAAGGAACTTTAGGGCCTATGGGTGTACTACATTACGGTGAAAGCAGCTCCTGTGTCAGAACTCAGTATCCTGCAGCCCCAAACCCTACAACACACAGAAATCCGTTCAGGGAACCATTCCCCTAAACCCTAAACCCTAACCCCTAAACCATAACCCCTAAACCCCTAAACCCCTAAACCATAACCCTTAAACCCTAAACCGTGCAACTGTGACCTTCCTTCCTTAAACCGTCCATTCTACACCAGGAGCACCTTGATCCACAAAGCAGAGGCAGCCTCTCATCTTAACCCGACGGTCTGGGGGCCCAACACCCAAAACCGACAGCAAAGGAAGTTCTATCTGTATAGCTGGTTCGAAACCATACATAAACCGAAGCAGCGCCTCTAGGACCCTGATGATCAGGGAGAGGCCTAGACCACAAACCCTAAAGCCCCGAAGCCTAAACCCTAAACTCTAAAGCCCAAAACCCCAAACCCTACTAAAGCTCTGAACCCTAAAGCCCTAAACCCCAAACCCCACAGGCCCTAAAGCCGAAACCCCAAAGCCCTAAGGCCCTAAAGCTCTAGAGACTCTAAAGTTTCATCTGCTGCCAGCTGGCTTGCTGAAGGTGATGTGGCACTGGCGCAAGTTCGACAGAGGCCTTCCAAAGCCGAAGGAGTGGTTCACTTAATATCGGGACCTTAATTGTTGGAATAGGGTTTTGAGATATGTTATATCATAATTTTATTCAGGAGCCTCAAGGACTAGTTTTAAAGCAAAGTGTTGGGGTATGTTATAATATGGTTATGTTAAGGAGTTCTAAGGAATAGCAGCAAAAACCATTCAGGCTAGGGCGGCATTCAAGGCTTCTTTTCTTCGGGCTTTGTAAGGAGGGCTCTACGACTCTATGAGGGCTCTGTGCAAAGGACAAAGCAACTACCTGTGCGTGTATTCATCTGTATACACCCATGCATACACATTTGTATTGTGTGGAATATGTAGTTGTTTGCTTAAACGTGCCTCGAAAGTTTTTAAGCGCCTGGGAGGGGGTCAAAGTTAAGGAGTCTTCGTTTAGGATTGGTTGCGGAAGGCTGTGGTGCCTGGGCTGGCCGGCTTCTACCAGTGTTACTCTCAGGCACTCCTGACTGCGCATGTTGGTCTGCTCCTGGTTGAACGTGAATACACATGTTCAGAGAGCGCGAGTCAGCGGGCATTGCTCACGACGTCGATAAGTTTGCTTCCGCATGCACTAGGCTGCAGGCCGAAAGCTCTTCTGCCAGTTGATGTATTGATGTCGCTACCGCTGCTGTTGATGCTGCTGATGCTGCAGCTGATGACGATGATGTTGATGATGTTATGGGCGATGGCAAGACCTCAGCCCGAACTCCAAGGCTCTGAAATCTAAGCTTATAAAGCTCACTGAAAGCCGTGGTACCCTTCCACGACGAGCTCGTACTTTTTGTAATGCCCGAGGAGGTTGACCCACCTTGCAAGAGGCTTCCTTCACAAACTGGCATGGAGCTTGTGCTGGTGTGGGTTTGTAGGATCCATGGACTCTCCCTGACTTGGGCCTAAGCTGATGACCTCAGCCCTGAAGGTTTGCGTGTTGTGGCTCTTTGCGCTGAACGGCGCCAATGACTACAGTGTTACAAGGTCCACATCACTGACAAAAGCCCTCAGTTCGCCGCAAAAGTATGTGAGCATGACCCAAGGCAAAAGGACTCGCAGAACAACAGCGACAGCAAACGAGTGGATGTTCTGGGGGCTTGGGGTGATAGAATCTGAGCTCGCAGTAACATCAGAAAAAAAGGAGTGATACAAGGGTGTGCCATGACCTCAGAAGCCCCTGCCTGGTTAGCCACCTCAAAGAGATGATCTCTGAGCCCCTTTTCCTTAAACCACCGGAGGGGCCAACCCAGCCCAGAACCCTACCTCCATATATGCTCTCTCCATGGACTCAAAGGCCGAACAGGAGCCCACCATCACACAACACCCAATGTCGGTTCTCGGGCTTCAGGAAATGTAGGGCCCTTAATAGTTAGAATAGGGTTTTGGGGGTTCCTTATCATAACTATAGTATAATATACCCCCCCCCAACCCTATTCTAATTATTATGGCCCCTACACCCTAAACCCCTTATAGTATCCCTTAAAGGAACCCTTAAAAAGGAGCCCCAAACCCTATTCTAATTGTTAAGGCCCCTACATTAGGGGTTGAGGCTTCAGAGTCTCGAGACCGGGACTTTCAGGTAGGGCCCCAAAAAAGGACATAAGCAAAACTTAGGATAGGGGTATCCCATATAAACCCCCTTTATAATGAAGCCCAATAAGGCAGGGATATCCCGACAAAAAGCTTATGCTTATGGGTGGTTCTCTAAATTAGGGTCCCTTTTTGAATCCCCAATATAGTACGGCACCCTTATAAACAGGACCCTAAAAGGGACCCTAATTTAGAGAACTACCCTTTTGTCGTTTTTGGGTTCCTAATTCCAGACGCCAAGGTGCAAAGAGGGTTGTGCACGGAACTGCTTTCCCAAAACCTGCGGCTTCCAAGTAGGCGAGCGGGGGTTTAGGGTTTAGGGTTTAGGTTTAGGGTTTAGGTTTAGGGTTAAGGGTTTAGGGTTTAGGTTTAGGGTTTAGGGTTTAGGGTTCAGGGTTTAGGGTTTAGGGTTTAGGGAACCTAGCAAGGAGGGTCATAAACGTACCGTCGTGGGCGGTTTGAGTAGGTGTAGTTCTATAGCTACCAGAGCCACCTGTCCTTTAACCCTGTTCACTTATAGTCCCCTGAGCATTGAAGCACGAGTACCACGATCCCCTCGAACAAGTTTACTTGGAAGATCGCGTCAGGTGCCTAGACAAACAAGCTAAGCAGGGCGATGGTAAGGACGTACCTTAACCTAGCAGAACCTACTTTTTTGTAGGGTCCCGATAAATCTCATATTAGGGTGTATATAGTAAGAACCTACAAAAAGGTAGGTTTTGGCAGGATAAGGTATATACAAGGCCGAATTATGGCCCTGGGTCCTAAGCCGTCGTGGTCGTCTAAGAAAGCCAGCTCCTGAAGTTACGACTCGAAACCGAACCGTGCGGTACTCTGAGTGTTTCCAGACCCGTTCCCCAAAAGGGACACCTGAAATAAGAAGCAGGCGTCTAAATTAAAGCGCGGGCGTGTGTCTTGGAGTACAGAGCACATAGTCTTGGTCAGGGGCTATTGCTTACTTGTGTTCATTCATTCAGCTTGGACTCACTGTTAGTGATTTGCTCAGGCCCCCATCGCACACACACACACACACAACCTGAGATGATAGAACTCCTCTCAGCACTGAATCCCTGAACATAGGGATCTGAACAAACTAGTACTGCTGTTCCCTCTGTAGCCGCTGTAAAGTTTTACGCCAATACACCTTCAAACCAAGGTCTCATCAATACGGCCGCCATCTTGCCGAACGACCAAGCCTGAATGCTCATCCCTGGATCCGAAATCTTTCTTCAAATGGCCTTTTGGCGGCATGTTTTGCAAAAAATACAGCTTTTTTGCGCGGGGTGAACTACAGCGGACTGCATCGCTAACCGATATTTGCATTAGGAGATTAGGGTAGGGTTTTTATATGGTTTAAAATTCAGGATTTTGGCCTTGGCGTTGCCACAGATGATGAGTCCGTACTTGGCACGTGTCAGGGCCACGTTCAGGCGGCGCGGGTCGTTCAGAAACCTGAAAAAGGCGAGCCGGGCAACAACATCGGATCACAGGATAGCCCGCTTGAACATCATCGGGGGGGTTCTGCCAAGGCTTCATAAGATTTCAAAGGGAGGCTCAGCTTGTTACCCTTAACGAAGTGAATTAGGGTCCCTTTTAGGGTCCTTTTCATAAGGGTGCCGTACTATATTGGGGACCTAGAATTGGACCCTAAGTTAGAGAACTACCCATATCGAGCCCTTATAGTACCCCTATAGAAACCCCTATAGATCCCTTTAAGGAACCCTAAAAAGGGACCCAGTAGCAATGCCATGTCAGGCTTGAACTCCAACCGTACTGGCATCCTGAAAGACCTGGGGGTTTCCCAAAATTAGGGTTTAGGGTTTAGGGTTTAGGGTTTAGGGTTATTCTGGGGTCCTTATAATGAGGATCCTCTTATTTAGGGTACTATATTAGGGTCCCCTATTTTCGGAAACTCCCACTTCTTAGAGCAAGAACGGCATGTAACCCTCAAATACTTCTTAAGTGAAACGCTACCCGGCACCATCAACTTCCTGACACCCTAAACCTGGATCACTCTTGCCGTCTTGGGCCGCAAATTTTGGGCTTCAGGCTTCTACGTTCTCTGGGTGTACCTGTGGCAGAACCGACTATTCCCGTTCAGCTCTAGCGCTATACATTACTATTCTGAGGGTTTGGCATTGCAGGCAGAGGTTGATCGTTTTATTATTTTTCAGTGATATTCGGTTGCCTGTGTTGAGACTTTTTGGCCAGCCTTCCTTCTAGTCAAAATACTCACAGGGGTCCGATATATTAATATCACGGCCCTTAATACAAGGGGTAGCATTAGCTTGTAGGATTGGGTCTCTCTTGGAGGTTCACTTGTCCTGTTGGCGCCGAGGGGCCCGATTCCCTGGTTCTGATTCGATCGCACGCAAGAGAGGAGGATGAAATCCTGGGAGGTCTCGGGCATTCATTGGAAATGAGGTGTTTGGGGTTTCACCGCTTGAGGCCACTCTGTAGAGGTTTACCGTGCCATACTCACATTGAGGAACAGCGCTGCCTAATCATACTATTGTTATTTGTTATTGCTGTCATGATTGGTAGTATTATTCTCACTGCTACTGCTATCTTTGTTTAGTATATAAATATGACTGTAGTACCATCATCATTAGTAATATTACTCTTCAAGCCTCTATTCTACACCGGCTCTTCCGGGACTCTTAAACCCTAAATTCGCTCAACTCCTACACAATCAAACCCGCAAAATCCAAGCCCCCCAAAGAGGGTGCAAGGCTCTTGTCTTCTCCCTGGATTTGTTTTGCTTTGGAGCCGACTCACACTCGACAGTTTGGGAAACCCGGTCGAAGTCTCTAGAAGCACTTCCTGGGAATGCGGCGCGATGCGAAGATCTTATGCCTATTGGCCACATCTACCTGATTGCACCTGGAACCTGAATTGCTTTACTCTGGTTCACTCCTGAATTCGGGGGCATAAAGACTGGGACTAGGACGAGGTTTGATACTATAAACATTATGGGCAGCCTTATACGGGCATAAGAATCACCTAAGGCCCGTACTCGAACTCTGTACGAAGCTCAAAACTCCGTAACGACAAAACGCTTCACAGGCCCACTTACGAATCCCCTATAAGAGCCCTGTAAAGAAACCTACGAGTGCCCTGCTTCTTCAGGCCCCCAAACCTCTAAACCCTAAACCCTACAGCCCTAAACCCCTAAACCCTAAAGCCCTAAGCCCTGAAGCCCTAAGCCCTGAGCCCCTAATCCCTAAACCCCAAAGCCCTAAACCCTAAACCCCAAAGCCCTAAACCCTAAACCCCAAAGCCCTAAACCCTAAACCCCAAAGCCCTAAACCCTATACCCCAAAGCCCTGAACCCCTATACCCCAAAGCCCTGAACCCCTAAATCCAAAGCCCCTAAGCCCCGCTTAGGCTGCTCCCATCTCC